TTCTGCGCAGCCTGTTCGAGGTCAAAGGTCCCGCCATTTGATCCGGTGGTGTGCGCCGTAACATGCGCGTTAGGGTCCCTCTTGAAGCTGTCCCATATCCGCTGGCCCACGCTTCCTTTGGTAGTCTCTGTTTCACCGTAGATTGGGGGAGGATCGGACACCATAGGCTCCGCCTTATGTTCAATAGAGTCTTTCTCCATGATTGTGTAGTCGTTAATGAAGCGAAGCTAAATGTAACATGAAGGGGTAGGATAAAGTGAAAAGAAGTGAGGTGAATAGATCGATACAAGTTGGAGACTGGGAGTGTACTGTCTGGGGGTCAATGAGACAGACTATTTAGTCTGAGTGAATGATGAGGGAGAGGCAGATGGGTCGGTATAAATAATTGGAAAAGAGGGCAGTCTATGGGATGATCACATTCTCACTAGGTTATGTAGACTAGTCCCAAAGACAATAATCATTTTGCCTCTTTAGTGTCAAGATGCGAAGGACGCTTTCACAGCAAAGGAAAGGTCCCCTCACCCAGGCGCCACACAGATAGATAGATATCAAGAGCCAGGATTTCTGTGGTTGGGCTTACTGGCCGACTTACGCTTTGGCGTTCTTCCCTAGGTCGGGGGAAGTTAAAAAAGGTGAAATTGACCGGGCCTGGGGTAGACTAGACCCAATTAGACTTTTGCTTTTGGAGGTTTATTATTTATGATTTTGGTTATTATTTATGATGACCCTCGATTTTTGCCTTCGCTCCTTGATAAGTTTGAATTATTATTACTCAGTGAACTTACTGAACTGACTGCGGGAATAATGACAGACCACGAGCCATTTCAACTCAAAATTAGACCAGCCGTGTCTTGCATCAAGCTAGTAAGATAATAATAATAATAATCATGATAATGATGGAGAATTCGTTAAATATCCTATCGTCTTGGTTAGAATCTTAGACTAACCCGAGGACCTAGCCAAAAAGCATCTGTTATCCTCCACCCATCTGTACGATATCCAAAGTAGACCAACGCCATTCCAATCCGGTGATTCCAGGGAAGTAGGGAAAAAGGGGCATAGAAAAGGGAGAGAACAGCATGATTGCATGATTCCATGCACACAAGAAAAATAACATCGAATTAAATATAAGAGGGTGCCATGCAATACAACGTCTTCTGCCTAGGTAGCAGGTTGGGTTCAGCTTCCATCTATCTAGAGTTCTAGATAGTCGCTTGATTTAACAGAGGTTCCACATGGAGTTAGTGGATCCGCACTACCGCTTCAGGTTAGAGAGCCTATGGGGGCACCGGCCAGTGGCCAGCAGCCTTGGAGTTGGGGTTGAGCAAGTTTCTTGGTATCATATCTCCTGCGAGCCGCGACCGCAGACAACCTGACACTTGAGCAGTTTAGCTGCTCGTGGTGTCTCTGGGGATTGGTGAGGATCCATCCTTTTGTGGAGTCGAAACCACCGACTTGCTAAGTTGCTCCAGAGACTCCATACTTATCTATGCATAACCACAGATACCTAGCTATCTAACAGCTCTATGACAAGGACACTTATCATGACATTGGTAATGGACTGTTGTAACCACTAATCTGGACGACAGAGTCGATATTCCGTTTGCAGAGATGAGATTCCTATACCAAGGAAACCGCAGACCGCCAAGGACAAGAATACTACCTCAATATTTCTTCGCTTATATTGGTCTCTACATGGCGAATGACCCCGGGACGAATGGTCGATTGCCAACACAATAGGCTGTCTCGATTCCCTACCTGACTCTGCCATTCGCTGGGATGGTGGCGAAATCGCTCGTGATTTGTGAATCATGAGTCCATGGTTGATGAGAGCGATAAGGTACGAATTCCTTGGCCTCCTGCCCTTCTGGAGGCTGGAGCAGAAAAGGAGGGTGGGGCTCACCGGACGAGCCGTCGTCGCTTTGAGAGGATGAAACCCGTTAGTCCTCATTAGGGATTAGTCTCCGCACCACTTCTTTCACGCGATATCCTCCAGTAGCCAATCAAAAAATTCCATTGGCAGTCTCGTAGATAACACATTTCTCTGCTTAGTCTTGCCTAGGCATTATTCCGTACATCTGAGGCCTACAGAGCCATGGTAAGCTCATGATCCTGATATGCACGGGACTGAAGGCCAAAAACCAGGCAGATAAGGAATTGTCGTGTTTAGACGTTTTCTAGCATACTCAGGTGATGTCGCTACTTTCCTTCTGGAAGGTCGAGGGAAGAAAGGCTGATAACTTGACAGTGCTTACTTCCCGAAAACCATATTCTTGACCATGTAACTGGCTGGCTGTTACCATAATCAGACAGGTCTTAGAGCCATGGCGCTACACCTGGAGAGCTTCCTACTCGTCTGTCTCAACCGTGTTAGGGGATCTCCAGATGCACGGAAACGCAGTAGAATCCTTGAAGTGGCAGGCGCAGATGCCATCGTCCTCACTGGCGCTTGAGCTCTAGGCCCAATCTGGCACGTAATCAATGTGTTTCTGATCTTCGGTTACCTTCCTCAGAAGTTCTGAAGGCGAGGGCTTCAACGCCTTCAGTTCAGGTACAATCGAGGGTCCAGGAAGCCTAAATGGCAGGAATAGTGATACTTTCAGTAGCACTGTTCTATCGAATGGTACCTACCAAGAGAGGATCGCTTCGGAATCCGTCGGCATCTTTGCATTACAGCCTGTTGCCCAAATCTTTTTTATGCATCCCAGGTCACTATGCCCTATCAGCACCTTACGACTCACGAATAGGTACGGATAGATAGTACGGTTGAAACTGATGCTAGGATAGTTTATTCTCCTCAGCCACTAACTGGGCATTTGGCCTCATTACCATCTATGGGATTATTGATCACGCATATGCTGGTGAGTATGGACCGAGGCACGGAGTACTACACAAGCAGACAAGGGCTTTTTCCTCCCTCAGGCAAGCCTTCCTGAGTGCTTTGGCTGCTCACCACTGATTCGCCTCAAAGTATCCTCCTAAATAATACGCTGAATAAAGTCATTTCTTACCTTTCGATTCGATGGTCTATGGTGCCCTACTTTGGTTCAAAATTTCTTTAAAGAACTCTCCTTGTCCGCCAGTGCCATGATCGTAACTCAAAATTCTTCTTTGGGTGGCAGGCAAATTCATTATTGTACACCCGTAGGACTGAAGGAATTACCAAGCCTTAGTGGCTGACTCCGTCGGCGCCGAAGTCAATTCCCTGCTGACGAGGATGGTTGATGAACCGGCTACCGTAACATCGCGCGCAGATGGCGTGGCCATTAGCCTTTGGGGCGCTTCTGGATTCCAGAGAAGAACAAAAGTTAGCTCCACGCCTCAAGTTTCCAGAATCCAGTTTTCCCTCGCCATCAGCAGGGTATTTTGAACTTCTGACATTTTGTTTTTGAACAGGATGAGGTGAGAAACTTAATTCACGTGACGAGATTAATATGTTGTATGGCTCTCATTGAGAGCAGTATATTATAAGACTTCTCAAAAGGGACACAGGATCCTCGTGGCATCAAAAAAGCCAATAATGTTACACAAATGTCGTGGTTTTCTGCACGGGCCAACCTAATAGTGAGATGCTATATTGACACCAAAATTGAATTTCTATTACTGAATTGAGTGACACAGACTGCCGATAAGATGTGTAGAGATCGTAGTTGAAACGCAATGATTTGGGATTGGACGCACGACCGGGACTCGACCGGCAACGGGCATCAATCGCCTGCCCAAAACAAGTTCAACCGACCAAAATCGCGCAACGATATATCCCTGTCTCCAATGATATGACCCTTAATGTCATATGATGGCGTATTGCTGCCTCCCGTCCCCTTGTCGTTCCTCCCCTTAACTTTGGATCAATGATTGGAGTACGAATAATAGGTGGGAGTCGTCTCATAAACCGCTCTTTTGACCCTCCTGATATGCTTGGATGTTGCCGCTTCGCCCCCGTCTGGCGGTGCAAACGCGGGGAATAGCGGAACCTGTTATGTAACAGATTCCACTCTGTGATCTGGGGAAATATCTGGGGCAGAGAACCGAGCACAGCAATGCTCACCGGCTGAAATGAGTGAAATCACTCCAATAATTTCGTCCAACCGCGTGTTTGCGCGAAGTTCAAGAAAGATTCCGCCGCCAACCGACTACGAGCGATCGAAGAAGCGGATGGAGCCTCCCCAAATATCCGCGAGCGATTACCCCGTACTGACGACACGATGGGTATTCGAGGAAACGCTATTCGTCGGACTGCCTTTGGAGCCATCAAATCTGTACCTTTTACCCCATACTCCACAAACCATGATTTACCTCAAGAAGAATACGTGGAAGAGTTACCCCAGGTTTTCCGCAACTTAGCGACTAGTGTTCCCCATTCTCATCGATGTCAATCATGCGGGCAAGTCTCCGCTTGTTGAAGGGTCAACAGCTTCAGACGGTCATGGTTTCCTCCAGGGTGGATCTTGCAGTGACTAACGAAAATAGCTCAATTGGATGTCATGATAGTCATAGGCTTCAGCCATACCTCTGGCACTGTCTAGACTCCTGATCAAAGAGCTTGAAGACCAGAAATTGACTTTCCCTAACACTTAGAAAGCTTCCCGCCGCACTCACAGCTGTTCCCCTCACGTCTTGCTGAGAATGCCAAGTCAATCACCTTCGTATGGGAGTGCCCGTCTCTCTTCCATCTCGTCACACATTGATTGTACTGGTTCTGTACCATCCGTCAAAACTATCTCTTTTTCTACTCAGTATTCTCGCGGAGTCTTGCAACCGTGGACTGTACCCAGGCTGGTTCCCAAGATCTTCGGCGGTATCAGCGTTGCTTCTCAAGCTCGGCGAACATGCCTATGCAAAGTCGCATTGGGATGAACCGAGTGAGAATACAGTGAGACTGCAACTGTGCACAACGGAACGCTTTTGCTATTCAGGTGAAGTCCTATGCAGTATCATTGTGACAGTCGTTTGCAAGCCATGTTCATCACGCTGATCAAAGAAAACTGGAAATCATAAAATCAGGAGCTGCCAACTGGTCCCTCGCCACCAGGGATTAACTGAAAAAGAACGTCAGAATCGTGCGATCGAGGGGAAGAGAGGGACTTTGGCGTCCATACCATGCAGATATTGTTCCCGTTTAGCAGGATCTTAGGGAGCTTGACCTGTGCACCAGAGTAATCGCTACATTATGTTAACGCTTACACCATCATTGAAACGCTGAAATAAGACAGGAGGCATCCTGGGAAGGCTGGCGGGCATATGAGGCCAGCATGGCAAGAATGAGGGCGTCCACCTACAATTCAGTCACATCTTCCAGAACCATATCTGCAACAAATCAGTACCTATTAGGAATCTCACAGATACTCGAGATGACTTACTGACGTAGTCGTCGAATCCAAGTAATGTGCCGGAGAATTCTTTATTTTGTCAGTACATAGTCGTCGCAGCCACTGTAGTCACATACCTTTGTCGCCCTTCATGATGACCCAGATTCTCGATCCCACACACTTATCGATCAATTCTGCCAACCTGTTAATCACACAAGTCAATGTATACGCGTGGTTATGAAGATTACCCAAAGGAAGGAGTTGGGACGCCATTGTGCTCGAAGTGTTCTATAGTCAGAATCTAGCGCACTATGCTCACAGCTGCGCCCTTAACACTTAGAAGTCCACGTTCAATAGTAAAGAGAGTATTTAGTATCAAGTGTTATGCGTCATATAGAAAATGAAGCCTCAAGCGGATCTTTGAGCATTCCGCAGACGATCTTGGAGGGCGAGGGAGCATGTTTATCCGTTCCGAACTTCAGCCCAATCACATCTATCACCGATCCTTCTCCGCTCATCCTCCGATCTGATACATCTACCTAGGTATGATCTATACAAACCATGCCACTGAATACATACGCATGAAAAAATCGACTGTCTGGTTAACTACTACAGTGAGCACTGGAGAGAGTATTTGCCTGATGATCAGCCAGCTCATGCGCGATACCGTGTAAATCGCTCACAAGGGTCATGTTACTTCGCTCCTCTCCTCGAGTAAAGCAAGTCGGACCACCCCGAGTATCGTGTCGAGAGCTCGGGTCACGGCTTTGCTGACTGGTGTACATTCGCCCGGCGCATAATCAGCGTATGGACTACCATGATCTAACTAGTCCTAGCATTCAGGTACATTACCAGCAGATAAGTGCAGCATGATATCCCCCACACGCCTGCGTGGAACGTGCTTTCCAAGAAGGCTCGGGACACCAGACCTCAAGTTTCCAACTTGCATATCCAGATGCTGGACTGCATCTCGGGATTCCAAAACAGACACTTGGCTCTTAAGCCTAAAAAGGCACCTCGGCCTCCCTAGTATATGTCTCGACTTGACCCTGCAGTCACGGCAAACGCATCTAGCCACTTCTTCTAGGGCTGTTGCCAAGAAGTATAATGGATTGCAGTACGACTTGAACTTCTCACATTGGTTCACTGGGCTTTGGCATGGAAAGCAAAGCTACGTACGAAGACATGCATTTTCGACGCTCGCTAGGGAAACTGCGGGAGATCAAAAGTTTCCTTCCACACGGCCTGACCAATTTGGACCGAGAAGGCTAAACATGGACTTCTGTGTCGAACACTCAAGACGCTCGTTTAGCAAGGCCCCCATAACGCAATCAATCGCTGGTCCTTCCAACCAAGAAGGTAGTTCAGATCATATCGGCCAATGCCAGTCGGACAGCAGGGCAGATGTCTCCTGGAGCATCAAGTCTGAAGACGAAACACGGACCGAGACAGCCGTAAGCGAGAAGTTCCTGATTACGCGACAGCCTCTTGCTTTAACCATTCCTCCGGGCCCCAAGTTCTGGAGCCACCGGCTGCGTAAGGCCCCAGACGGGAAAGACATCATCGTGCACTATTGCAAGTCCCTTAAAAAGACTGAGGAAGTAGCAAAATACTTCTTGAATGATGATGTAATAGGCTTTGACATGGAATGGAAACCGCAGTCAAGCAAATCTGCCAGCGTTCAAAGTAACGTCTCGTTGATACAGATTGCAAATGCGGAGCGAATTGCCCTCTTTCAAATCGCGCTGTTCAAACCTGCGAGAACACCGGAAGACTTTATTTCTCCTTCTCTACAGAGGATTCTTGAATCACCAAAAATTACGAAGGCTGGAGTAGCGATAAAGGCGGACTGTACGCGCCTAAAGAATTTTCTCGGTATCAACGCTCGTGGGATTTTCGAACTCAGTCACCTGTACAAGTTGGTCAAGTACTGCCAGTCAAATCCAGCTCTCATCAACAGAAGACCTGTCAATCTAAGCGAGCAGGTCGAAGAGCACTTCGGTCTACCTCTAGCAAAGGATGATGACGTTCGATGCGGCGATTGGACCACTGCACTAAACTACCGTCAAGTTCAGTGTGAGTCCCTCTTGAACCTCATTATGTGTCAAGAGTATTAACGGCTCTCTCTATAGATGCTGCAACCGACTCGTATGCATGTCTGTGTCTTTTCAATACTATGGACGCCAAGCGCAGGGCCTTAACTCCGATGCCTCCTTTACCAGCACATGCTGAGCTGGATCAGCCGATTCGCCTAGTAGAAGACCTTGATGTTGAAACAACCAACAACGAACCGGTTGAACGTCAGGTCATCGAGCCGGTAGTGTGTCTTGAGACCGAGGATGATGCTCCCAAAATAACACCGTCGGCACGCACCATGTGAATTTCTGAAGTCCGGAGTTCGACATTATTTCTGCTAGTTTGTTGATATGACTCCTGTTGCAAGAAATACCCTTGTGTAGCACTCGGCGTCATTTCATTATAAAAACTGCGTTGCCAGTTTTCCGACCATCTTTTACCAAGTCAAGCAAGCCATGTAAATGCAAATGAGCGAGACTTTTGCAAGTGTCATTGATTTCGTTCTGAATCGAAATGTTGAGTTTATTCAAACAACAAAACTAGCAGTGGGTATATGTCACAAACTGGTCAACCCGTCAACCTGCCAAGAAGCCATAATATCAAGGCTGGATGAGGTTGCGGGCGGATTGGAACCGTGCACCGAACATTGGTGTGCTCATAATGAATATACATTTAGCCCCTCAGCGGCAGGACCTTAGATGGTATTACCTCTTGTCGACAGAGTGGACACTCGGGCTTCTCGCGTACCCAATCGCGAATACACGTCCAACAGAAGACATGTCCACACGTTGTGACACTGGGATCTTTGTACAGTTCCAGACAAAGCGTGCACTTGCTCTGTTGCCCTGAAGGAATCCACGGAATGACATTCGAGTCTTCTGCAAGATCATATCGAGCTGCAGAAGCAGGAAGAAGCGGGAGGCTGTAAGGATTTTGAATGGAGCGGATCAAGGAGTCATCTTGAGGCTTGGAACCGGGCACTTCGGCCTCAATACCCTCTCCCTCTTGTTGCATACTAAGACCGAGTTTTCGAATATGCAGAATGCCTTGTACCGCGATCTGAAGGACAAGCAAAACTCCCAAGACCTCATACCCTACTCTCTGTTCATTTTCCTCGAGTTTCTTCGTGAACACGTAGCGCAGTCCCCAGAAGCGTTTTGACAAATGGTAATAGGAGCCAGTAAAATAAAAGGTTGCTATACTTAGGGCGTAAATAGGTGAAAGCGAGGTGATCGAGTCGAGATGCTCCAGAATGTATTTCTGGACTCGAAGTGCGGTGAAGAACGACTGCTTCTTCGAAGCATTTTTCTTGGTAAATCTCAATTCTTCTGCTTTCTGCTGCGCTTTGAGTTGTTGCCGGGCGATGCTACGCTCCAATTTCGCGCGTAGTCGCTGGCGAAACCCGGGGAGAATCCGCTGAAGCGCCCACGGTACAAGGATGCTACTCAGAATATAGCCCGCTCTTCGGTGAAGCGTGGGAAGCTGCAGTGTATCATCTTCCAGCTGCACGAGATCGCAATACTCCTCCCCCAGAGTCCGATTGCCGACTAATGTTGTTAGTGAGAAGTATAGAATTTCGGTCAGGTGTTTGATCGCATCCGAGTGGATATGAGCAAAGCGTGCGCCACGGAGAGAACGGATGATAGCTTGTGCCTGGGTGACCAGACTAGAAGTTAGGAAAACGTCCTTTTCGTGGGAGCGAATAATATCCGGTGACGTTGCAAAGGGGTAGAAATGCGCTGAGGAGCTGAAAGCCGGCGGAGATGATGTGGGAGTAGTTAAGGAGAGTTGGAGATCTTCGTCTGCCATGCTGACGCCTGAAAGTTGTCAAGAAGATGCAAGCAACAAAATAATCACGGTAAGGAGTCAATTAGGGAAGTAACATCGTTATCTTCTGGAAATTGTGCTTCATCTCTTCCCTATGAAGTGGAGAGCTCCCTGGCAAGACCGCAACTCGGCGATGAGTACGAAATGCCTCGGTAATTTACACGTGACTATTATCACGTTATCTCCAGCTCACGTGGGGCAGATGATTCCATTTTTGGATTTCACCACTCTGCAGACATCACACTAAGCCTACAAAGGACTGGCGCTTCCGAAACTAGAAGCCGCGCGGAGCCGCCCCGAAGCCGTCGTCTGTCCCTGAGCTTCTGCATCAAGGATCTCCGTAGAAGGTCTAGTCCAGCCCATGACTATTAATCTTTGGCAGTAAATTCTCACCCCTAGTCACTCTTTTTGCCTCAATTCTAGCTCTTGGTTCTGTTCTTGTCCGATTGAAAACCATTCCTCTCTATCACATCCGGCTTGTCCTTCTCACCCTCGTCTTATCGTAACTTTATTTAGGGGCTGATTCGCAGCGCCGCGTTTTCGATGGAATATGGGTCCTGATCAACATGCTCAACTTGACGGCTTCAGTCTTTTTCTCCCTTTCCCCTATCGGGTTTCAGTAATACTGGTTGCTGGTGCGTATTTCACCCTCCGTTCGGTCTATCATACGTAATATTAATCCGTGGCTTAGGATTCTGGGGTTGGGGTGCCAACCTTCAATATCTCTCTCGGGCGAATATTGTGAGCTGGCCCCTCCATTCCCTTGAGTACAGAGAATCTCGTACGGAATCATATGCTTACTCTCTCTAGGATCTCCCGGCCCTCATCCGTTATCCCGCCCGTCAAACTCCTCAACAACAACCTCACCATACTTCTACTTACCGGCTCGCTACCCTTTTGACAGCCCCTCTCCTGCTCTCCCTCCTTATCTTCTGGGTGTTTACCCGCGGCTCTGCTGAGCGAGTGGAGTCGTTAGACTTCATTCCGCAATCATATCTATTTATATTCTTCATTCTACTCATTCTGCCCATCAACCGTTTGTCACGGTCCGGACGAAGTCGGTTTCTCAGGTCTTTGCGACGCATTAGTGTAGGAGGATTGGCGGAGCCTCAAGATGGTAAATTTGGAGACATACTGCTGGCAGATGCTCTTACCAGCTATGCCAGAATCTTGGGGGACCTCTATGTTACATTCTGCATGTTCTTCACAGCAGATATTTCGAGCACCTCTAAACCGAATCGCAGTTGTGGAAACAATTATGTGGTCCCTATCATCATCGCAGTCCCCAGCATGATCCGACTGCGGCAGTGTCTAACTGAATATCTTCGTGTGCGTCGGGCTGGTCAAAGAGGGGAAAATAAAGGAACACAGCACCTGGCAAACGCCTTGAAATATGCCACTGCCTTCCCCGTCATTATTCTTGCGGCCAAGCTTAGGAATTACAATCCATTCGAGTTTTATGGGTTCAGCGAAATGAGCCTTTCCCGGCTGCTGTATGTATAATCTAACGCTCTAAGCTCAGAGCGGGACAAATCACAACTAACAATTGTCGTGCCTCAGCACCTTCTTCACTTTCGTCAACTCTGCCTACTCCTTTTACTGGGACATAAGCAAGGATTGGGATTTGACCCTCTTCACTTCTGCTCGTGCCGATCCGGACTGCCCTTATGGCCTGCGCCGCCGTCGATTCTTCTCTGATCGGCTTTACTATGCCGCAATACTTGCTGACCTACTCATTCGATTTTCATGGGTTACTCGATTCTTACCGGGCTTTGTCTGGCTTAGCGAGAAGGAGTGCGGCATCTTCCTGCTCATGGTCTTGGAAGTCGCCAGACGATGGATGTGGATCTTTTTCCGAGCAGAAGCAGAAATGAGTAAGTCATCGTCTCCCGTTTTATCGTCGCTCGGTGCTGATTCGGAATCTGCAGTCAGAAACAGTCGTGATCCAGCCATGGGCGACATACTTCTCGGCGAGTTCCATGGCAAACTGGACGCCGACTGAAACAAGTCCGCAGGTCTTCACTGTTATCTCCTATCGGTGACATGACACTGCCCGAGGATATTTCATCCTTTCCGACTTCTCGTATGTTGTTCCAACGCATCGCGCGCGTCTTCGAATGTTTGTCTACTTGAGCCCTTTGCCTTCCCGGCCCTTCCAACATTTCACTCCATGCTTCAACTTGGTTTTGAATCATGTCCGCTTTTGGCGGCTTCGTTGCCTGTAAATACTGACGTCGCAAGTCTTTTGGTCTGTATCATATATCCGAGCGTTCTGGAGTTGTCCTCTTCCGCGGTCTTTGGATCTCGTTTCTGCGTCTTTTCCTGGTGCGCAATAATACACAGCGAGCATATAGACAATTATCAGGCTTATCATTAACAGAAGGCTAGTATCAACCATTGAGAAGGAAAAACGAAAATGTACATAATCAATCACAGCCCCGTCCGTCTTGACTTAGCCAATCTGCAGTCAAGTCTTTGCAAGAATCAAAGACGAGATAGAATGCCACGAGGATGGTCATGCGTGACTCATATAGAGACATGAATATTAACTTAAGTATATGTTAAACGAGATCCTGTATGTATGGCTCGAAAGCTGTGAACCCGAGATAGAAATAAATGAAAAAGGAAAGAAAGTAAGGAAACGCAATGCATATTTCAACGCGCGTTGGAGGCTCAATCATCTATGACCGTTGTCCGATTGAGGGGCATGACTTTCGAAAAGATCCTCCAAGAACGCACTGGGAGTTCTTCCATGGGTCGGAGAGGCAAGATTCAACGAGCTGGTGGAGCCGGCGACATAAGAATGCCTGGTGGGAGGATCGTAGTTATTGTCATGTAGACCGCTAGGCGATAGACCCGGTGACCTAGGGGGGCTCGGATTAGATTTAGTGCGAATGTAGCCCTGCGAGTGTGGTCGCATTTCTGGCGTCGAGTATGGGATGTTCTGACTTCCAGCGGGGGCAGCGTTTCCTGCAGCATAGTAGCCCGCCGGAAGGTAGCTGGATCCTCTGTTTCCGCTTGTATGCATTCCGGCGCCCGCGGTCGGAGAGAAGAAGAGACCGCTACCAGTACTGGGGATATTGGATGCTCTTGGATTGTAGCTGTTGCGGTGGTGTGGGGGAAGCTTTTCGAGTGACATGGTCGCAGGTAGAGCGCGAGAATGTCTTGATGACCTCTTCCTCTTGGAGCGAAGGAGTCCTTTCTTTTCCGAGGCGTGCATCAACGCGGCGCGGCGGACGGATCGGTTGACCGACCATGCGACGAGCCCACGCCATGCCAGCACCGAGAGCCCAATCAAACCTAGGGCTGCACCTACAGCAATGAACACCGTCCCTTCGGGCGTGTTCGATTTTTGCATGTACGGCGCATCCGCTGTCGGTGGCACGGTCACCACAGGGAATCCGTCTGTTGAGGTTGCAGACGTTGCAGACGTTGCAGTCGACGTCGTCGATGCATCGGTAGTCGTAGAGGCTTCCGTGGTTGAGGAGGTTTCGCTACTCGTCGAAGCTTTTGTAGTTGTACCGTCTGTAGTTTTGGCATCGGTCGTCGATTTCGAATCGGTGGTCTTCCCCGCGTCCGTAGTAGCTGGATCTGTGACCTTCGTGCCCTCGGTCGTTTTCGCAGTAGTTGCAGCAACGTCGGTATTAGTATTATGCTGGGCAGAGGCCAGTTGAGCCAGCAGGACGATCAAGAGAAATAGAAGCAATGTAGCGGAGGGCTGATGGGGCTTCGCACGCCCCACATTGAGGAATCTCATCGTCGGAGGGGGTAAGCGGTCGTTCAAGCGATAGTATGTAAACGTTTCCTTTCAGACGAGGAATATGAATCCCGACCAATGGATCACCTCGTTCAGCACATTGATAAAGTCTGTCGCACGCGCGACCGTAAACAAATGCAATCAAGCCCTCAGTAGGAGGTGCAGTTCGCTCCAGCAGGCCTGGCCTTAGGGTGCAAGTCTGTACCGAGTGGTCTGGAGCCAAACTATTCAACTTTGCGATAATGTCCGTTGAGTGAGGAGAAGCCTATCGGGAAGACACTGGAATATGAAGGGCAATGAAGAGCGAGGGACAGCTGCGCAAATGCAGCTCAGAAACTTGGGTGGAAATGAGGCTGTGGATTAGTCTCACTACCGCTGTAAATTATCGATGCGCCCTCGCTGGGCTGGTTGTTGACCCCGTGCCTGGCTTCTGCCTCAGGCGCAAAATTCAAGGCTGTGGAGGCGGAGTAAACCACGTGATCTCTATATATAGGCATCAAACTAAACTACAAACTGTCCTACACTTATCTTCTATTTCACTCAGTCAAATTCGATGAGGCCTTTGTCATATGCGTCCACGCTTCGCGAGAGCCGAACTTAATTGTGACCCATTTTGATACTCCCAATGAAGTTGACACGACAAATATACATGATATAAAAAGCGAGTTGCATTGATACAGCACGCTGGGCTAGCTCTCCGTTGGACGTTGCGAAGCTACTGAGGTCAGTTCAAATATGGTATAAGAGACAAAGATAGCCAATAATATGTTCGCTGCAATGGTAATAATTCAATAATGTCAACGAGTAATCATTGCTGTTTCTTCTGCACGCTGGCGGCGGTATCCTTTTCAAAGGCCGCATAGGGAACTTCAAGACTCGTAAGAGCTCGAATACCAACGTATAAGATCATCAGGAAGAAAAAGACTGCAAGAAAGCCCATAAAGAGACCTAGAAGCGGTCAGTCACTATGTAAGAACTTTGCAAAAAACCTTCTGGGTTCATACCTGGGGTAAGGTATTGGTACTCTTGGAAAAGAGACTTCTTAGAGGCAGGAGCACTTTGACTTCCGTGGGCTGAGTAGTCCCGCTTCAGCTCCATGTGGAGAGGGTCCTGGTAACTGTCCTCGGCTTGATATACGATCCCCTCGGATCCCTCGAACTCCTTCGGCGATGTCACGTAGAGAAGCGTATACTTCTTCGAAGAAGGGATTCGGTTAATGATATCGGCAAGGAGGCCATCTTTCTCATCCGTCAGAACGAACATGCGATGTCAAAATATGATGCATTCGATCACAAACCGTTGTCTGAAAGTTGCTGGGCTCGGTCGGCTCCCAGCGAGAGCATAGGAAAGTCCACGTAGATGATGCGAGGTTCCGCCCCGAACTCGGAAGGATAAGAGCTCGCTATATAGTCTTGTCAGTTTCGGTCTCTAAAGCTTATAAGCATCTCGAACTCACCAGATGCATCGATCAAAGTAGACTGTGCCCCGCATTCCTTTTCAATAATACTTTGAATCTGCTTTGGCTCCAAAACACCTGCGACCTCCTTGACAATCATACTGGACCGAATTGCTTTGTCCTTCCCCGTCAACTTTGCGCCCAGGCGCGGCGCGGACTTGCGAGTCGCGAAATCGATGCTGTGCACACCAGGCTGGGACGCAATAACATAGTAATCCGATGGACAGGTGCTCAGCTGTGAACTAAGATCCTCCAATACACCGGTGGCGGCCTTGATATTTGATGAAGTAGCAAGTATCCTAGAAAGAGCTTGTTAGCTGGATGCAGGTATGGATGGTCCGCGACTCCGAAGCTCAAGTAGCTCCTGGGCAACGTACTCGGACGTAGAAGCTAGGAAGAACGGAGATGTATCCCGGAATGCATTTGCACTCGCCGCTCCAAGAGCAAGCAGCGTAAGTCTTCCTAAACGCATTGTGGTGATTTGATTGATTGCAAGCGAGCAGAATGCAGGCTGAGGATGATGTTTGCTTCAGTAGAGCCAACCTGGAGGCTTGGCCGACGAGCTCGGAGGCGGTCGAGCCGGCCGCTGGCAAGACAAGGTTTAGTTTTGTCGGCCGCAATAACCATATCAGCATTTTTTTTTTTGTTTGCTTTTTAACCCTACTTTTTTTTTATGAATCAAAATCGTTTCTAGGTTGAAATCGATTGAATACAGATTATTACTCTTCTTATAATTGATTTTCTTAATACCAACCATCAGGCTACCCTGGAGAAATGGGGCCGCAAGCCAAAAAACGCAAGTTGACCCCCAAGGTCGAAGAAGTCAATTTCGACGACGCCGATCGGCAGGAATTCCTCACAGGATTTCGAAAGAGAAAACAGCAACGGATACGGCATGCACAGGAACTTGCAGCAAAGAGAGCCCGAGAAGAGAAAAGGCTAGAACGGAAGAAGGTTTGTACTCATTGGTTCCGCGGCTGGATGATGAGTAAAAGCATTCTGACTTGATTCAATCCAGATCCGTGAAGAGAGAGCCGCAGAATATGAGCGGGCACTTGAAGAGCATCGGAGGCAGCTCAAAATGCTGAGGGAAGAAAACGGCGACAGTGACGAAGAATCAAATTCCAGCAATGGCAATGGAGACGAGCAGGATGAATGGGAAGGATTCGCTGAGCCTCCTGCGGTAGACTACGAAGCCGAATATATCGATGAAGACAAATATACGACCGTTACTGTCGAAGAGATGGATGCCTCCAGAGAAGGCTTACTCAGGGCGGAGGAGGTGGACAAGTCAGACGAGGATGGGGACGAGCAAACGAAACGAAGGTCGGAAGCTGATGTCAAATCAACAACCACAAAATCGGCCGAGAAGAAGGCAACGAAGGAGAATAACAAGCCAAAAAAGAAGAAAAAGAAGTTCCGATACGAAAGCAAGGAGGAGCGCAAAGTTACTCTTATGAAGCAGCGGCAAGTCAAATCCAGAAAGGCCAAGGCTCGGCGAGAACGAGAATAGCGATTTCCATGTTAGATTCGTGAAAGAAGATTTCGAGCAAGGCTAAAATATCACAGCGACACTTCCATTAAATATGCTCTATGTACCTCAAACAATGAATATATGTAAAGGACAGGAAAGGGTCCAAGCTGCAAACACGAGCCGATCTCGAACAGGAGAGGACAAGGGCGAAAGAGAACCTATTGAATTGGTTCCTACCGAGAAAGAGAATGGCAAGGAAGGCTGTGATTTGCGAATAAATCTGATATCCGTTGGAACAAAGGCTGGATCCAATACCTTCCCGAAGTGTACGCCGATGTGCGAGATTATCTTTACACGTTGCTGATAGAGACCTCCAGGTCGTGGAGATCCTTCTGCAACTCAGCATACTTCTTGGCCATCTCCTCATACTTGCTCTCCCACTGATCACGAGAGGCTTCGAGAGCCTGCACCTTGCGTTCGTAATGGCCAGCCTTAACGTCGGTTTGGCGAAGTCTAGCATCCCAGAGTCAGCAAAATCGATGTTCTAGTGAATATGGCAGGATTGGGCGAAGTCATACTTCTCGTTTGTCTCCCGCAAATTCCGGTCAGCTTCCTCGGCCTCTTCTTCCAGCAACTGCACCCGTCTCTGAAGGGCCTCATTCTGAGTGTCGTGYTGAGCACTCTGGTTGGCAGACTCCTTGGCCTCCTTAAGCGCAGCCTCGAGCTTCTCAACCTCACCCTCCAAAAGCTGGTTTCGGTGGTTGAGGGATGTGATCTCCTGTTCCTTTGCCAAATTCTCTTGCTCCAGGGTCTTCACTTTAGCCTTGAGCTCTTCCACCTTGTTCTGGGCGTCATCAGCCTCGAGGCGGAGGGCGTTCATTCTCTAGAAGAAACCTCTCTGTCAGTCTCGACCTTTCCGTCCAGATATCATTTATTCAGACTATCGTATTTGCTCGTCCTGTTATCCACTCCAAGACGATCTGTTGCGAGGTAGAGTACGTGAAGCAAGGGCGGAAAGTGGTGCATTTCCGTTTCTCGACAGCTTTCAAGCTACCCCGCCGAAAGGGATCAGGGGAGAAGCTTACCTCCTTGATCTTATCCATTTTGGCAACGAACTAGCTTATTTGCAACGACAAAAACTATGTAGCAGAGAAAGTAGAGTTGGGTTAAAGGCAGAAAGGCTTTCGCTCAGCGAGAAACCAGGTGGAAAAGTGGACAACAAGGAGGCACGAATTGGAGGGATGTGGTTTGGGACTTGAAGATCACGAGAGAGGAATAGTAAGGCCTAGAGAAGTGGAGGGCCTCCCTACCCGTTTGGCGGTGAGCCAACAAAACACCTGGACAAAAATAGACTAGCCCCTGTTTTCTAAGTATTGATGGTCTGTGGCTTGACACCCTACTGAGGCGCAAGGGGGGTTGCGCGCCTTAGTGGGGCCTAGTGGCAGATGTTATTCTTGCGGCCTCAGGCAGCGGGACCGCCTGCCATTACCCAAAGGTTCCTTCCGGTCGTCCCAAAGGAAAGCCGCGCTCGTCTCCACGGGCAACCGCCAAGAAAAAACAACTAAATGCGTCCTGCATCTAGAACTGCCTTACCTTAGACTACCTTAGCTTGCGACTTATGATCACCACGACGCATACACGCCCATCCCGAATTGAATGAGTATCATTGAAAACCATACATTGCCATGCTGGCTCTTCGTGACCAGGAAAACCTGGTGCATACTCACCAGACTGTCGCTGCAGCTAAACCCTTGAACCATGGCGTGAAGCAGTTGCAACCGCGAACCCCGGGAGCGCGCGCGCCGAAAACACCCTTCAAAGTGCCTTTGAACGATGAAAATGACCCTTTGGCGTTTGGAAAGAAAACAGTAAAGGCTGCTGGCAAACAAAAGGAGAACACAAAACCCGCCAAAGATGCCTTTGTCACTCCGCTGGGTATGCAGGAGAGAAGACCCAGCGAGACGCTCGAGAAGAAGGCTAACGGAATACTGGCAACAGAACCTCGCAATCGTGCACCTCTTGGCATGAAAACGACTAATGCAAAGGCAAGAGGCTTACAGACCCCAGCAGCGCCGGCGGGCACTATCAAGCCCGAGAAGACGAATAAGAGAACCTCGACCCAAAAGATCAGGAAATTCTCGCCACTAGTTGACCAGCCCAAGATCGAGGTGCAGGATGAAGACACTCAGGATGACGTGCCCGATATTGAATATATGCCCCCCAAACCGACAGGTGAGATGCACATCGGCCTCATAATGGCCGTGAGTCAAAGAGGTTTTACCTGGCTAACATTCTTGTAGAGCTCCCGGATATCCCAGACGACATCACTTACGACACCACATTTCCTCAGTTTCAACCCAAGAATTTAGCCTTGGGGTTGGAAACTGTGTACGGGGACAATGAAGTTGGAGAGGATGGTCTTACCAAACGACAGCGCAAATTCCAGGAGCATTCAATTGCACTTGACAAAGAGGTGGACGAAATGATATTGAAGCAGCTTGAAGAGATCGGATTTGAGGACAAGACCGAATTGGACCCTCCCAGCAAGCCTCATGTGGAAGAGGTACCTAAACGACGCCTCGAGGTGCGCCGTGCTAGATTGACCACGACGAAGCCCAAGTATACCAGCAATATCTCTACTGTCCGTGCTCGAGATGCAGTTGCCGCTCTGTCCAGGTCTGAGCCCTCGGGTGCACAAGCCAGACCAGCGGCGATGTCAAAACCGAGACCCAGAGTGGCATCGTCTCTCTTGACATCTAGGAGGCCCCGAGGGCCGAGCAGTCTGTCCTCCATGCGTCATGCTGCGGCCACTGCCAACTCCAAGACGACCCTGGGCTATTCAAAGGGCCGTACTGTGTCCACCAGATTGCACGGAAACACGTCAACTACTCCGGAGAGGTCGGTGTCTAAGTCCGTCCTGTCGCCTGAAACATACATCGAAATGTACGGGATGCCTCCGCTGGGTTCGGAAATGTGGTACCGATGCAAGGCTGCAGGCTGTTTTGATAGCGAGGAGGATCGACTGGCGGCCGAAGCTGAAAGAAATCTTCCGACCTTTGGGGAAGATGAAGAGGCGCAGAATTTCCAGCTCACGTTTTGAGTTTGGACTACGCCAAACGTATCCGAGAGTCATGGTTCAGGAGTATTCTAAGGAAGTCTTTATCTTTTCTAGTCGTCTTCATTTTCAGGGATTGGGATGGTCGGCGTGCATGAATGGCAAGATTACACTAGGGCAAACCGACTGAGTTGGAAGCGGCGTTCTTGACCTTTGCTTTTTACGTACTGCTAACACTACGAGGCTTCACGATTCACAGCCGGTATTCTGTATGATTTAGCTCGTTTTTAGGGATAGTTTTCCAAGCTATAGGAGGTAGCAATCCAATCATTCGTATTTGCAGAACAAGTCCATATATGATTCGGGGTCTCTTATGGATGAAGTGTATCGTAAGAACGAAAGCGGTCAACTTGTCGTGAAGCAATCAGTGTCGAACTAGCCCAGGAGATAGGTCCGGAACTTAGTGGCGCGGGAAATGAATCCTATGAAAGCATAAACAATTAATATCATTAGCCAAGGAGATTGGGAGATTTGGGACACGCACTCACGCAGATTGCCGTGTTTCAGGGTCTGGCTGCAACCTTGGGTTGGATTGAGGGATGGACGATCCAGGGTTCTCGGCATCCGAGGACACCTCGGATATGCGCTCGATAATACTACCTGTAGTACGGCACATGAATCAATCTTTGAAACGGTTGCTAACAATGTCAGGAGGGGACTTGGTATCGTCGCAAGATATCATGATCAGTATCATCTACACAGTGGCCCTATCTACGGTCTGGGGGTTCATTGTGGATAGCTAGAGTAAATCGACAGGTTACACAGCCGTGCTACCCAGTATTATTGAGTAATCTATCCCACGACAGAGGCACAGACAGAATGATTATTGCCAGTGTTTTTACTCGCATATGCCAATGCGATTGACTTTCAATTTCAATTCTTGTGACTCCAGTGGACTACAATATACCGCTATCTATTGCCCTGCTTTCGATTCTTCTTGCTAGAGATCATAATTCTTCTGGTATACGTATGCTCACCGCCGCCCTTTCAGGAGAAACAACCATCCCGCGCGTGGTTCCACTTGAATTCGTTGATGTGTACCAGCTAGAGAGGTAGAGAGCTACTACTAATAATAATCAATTCGGACAAGGGCCAAGCTCGTCAGGTCCACTAGTACTATTACTGCTGCGAACTTGCTAAGGTAAGAACCTAAAGACAACTAGGATTATTGGCGCCGCGTCAATTCCTCATCACCGATAAACCAACCCTACTGCTCCTGTTCTTCATCAACGTCAATTGTTGTTGATCTGTTGTCTTTCCTGCCCTTGTGGCTTCTTCCTTTTTCCCCCCCCTTTCATTTTTCTGTTTTCTCTTATCACCACAGAACATCTGTCGTGATTTGTGAGACTGACCTGCCTCGGTCTCCTTCCCTCCCACCTCACGCCCTCCCTGAAATCGTCGACCCAGCCATGACGAAAATTCACCCCGAGTCCCCTGAGGACTTCGAGTACATTGAAACACCTCCTGCTGCTTGCACTACACCCGCAGACGATTGCGGTGTGCGGACGACATCGGTAAGTCGAGGTGCTCAATTGAGCCGACAACAATTTGCCTGGGCTCATCGAAGCTCCTTTGGAGCTTCATGGAGCGTCTTCATGTAAGACAATGGGCTAACTCCTTTCTCTTTCACTCTTTCAGTACCCGGCTATCAAAAATGCTCCCGTCCCCGCAGACGCTGCAGGCAGCGATAGTTTCTCCAACATCCTGCTTTTCTCTCTGCTGCTGTTTGTTCCGTGGTACTCGGCTCGCCAGGTCGGTGGTGGTTTCTACACCACTATCTTCTTTGCGATCTTCACGACTGTCCCCATCCTGATGGCCTTTTGGTCCGTGGCCTCTTCCATTTCTCCCCGCAAGAACGAGAAGGCCAAGTATGCTGGTCGCCCCGTCGAGCACTACCTTCACTTTCACAGCGAGCACGACCGTG